GCATTCTTGAGTTATTTCCTATTGTATTCGTACGTTTTTATACATCTATAATGAGTCAGCATAATTCTGGACTGTTTCACACGAAAAAAAATCTACGAAACTTGTAAGAATGCCAACAGTATACCAAGTTACGAATAGGGGCCTACAGCCAGAACAAACCTACTACTTCAAGTCGCTCCCGAATCACCCCGACAATTATTAACCTGTCCAAAATTATCGGGGTACTTCCCGATTTTAACAATCTTTCACCAAACAATCCGAATCATCCCCGGGCAGTCAGGAACCACTCCCTGATTTTCAGCTTAAGAATCGGAAATGTGGGAACCCGCCCTAATCCAGACATCTCAGAGATCCGCGTTTTCAATGAAATTACCCCTCGTGGCTTTTCCCACGCCGAAGACTTATCCAAAGATTCACTTCTAACATTTCAGCCTGATTTGTCAAATGATTGTTTGCGCTCCCGAGCGGACATAAGGGCATTACCAACCTCCTCCGACTGACAAAAAATATCTTATAAGGGAGAAATCCTGAATGCGCCTTCCTGGAATCACGTCACACAATAGAGGGCCTCTAGTTTATCTAAGGCTGCCCAACAAAAACAATAATAAACAAACAAACAAACAAACAAACAAAAAAGCACGAAAAAAAATGAAACAATTTCCAATGGTCCACTCAAATAGACGTAAAACGCGTTCTTGGCATAAGTTGGCATGAAGTGCACAAAATGGCCATGGAACATCACAGGCCTGACGAAATTAAACATCGAGACGACAAACAATCTCAACAACTGAAGTAAATTAAGAGACAATGGTAACCATTAAACCAAATTAGTTAAACCGGATTGGGAAAACTGGAATCTTAAACTTTATAGAGCTTCCTTAAATCGGCAAAGCAAAGCCAAAGAGCGACTGAAATTTCCTGGAAATAAATTAACTCGTTTGTGAACAATGCATAAGAAAAACAATCCTCTGTGCTGGTTGTTTAACGTAATTGAGCACCGATCAGTCGAATTTAAAAACGAACGAAGTCGCCACCGAGTCTATCTTTTGTCGGCGTTTGCTGCGAAATGTTTGATATGGGACCTGAGTTCTGCATCCCCAGAGGCTAACTCCACTATTGCAGAAGTCAAGAAAACCAAAGTTCGATTCCAGCTTAACTCATCATCTGTTTCAAATGCTCAAAAAGGAAACAAAATTAACTGGCTTTCCTGATGACGAGCCCGAATAAGATTAATTTCGTGCGGCTTAGTAAGAATCCAAGAATTCAGATGCATGAGACAAAGCATGACAGTGAGGCAGCTTACCTGTAAAGATTCAAGTGGATTCCAAAAAAGCCGGTGGGTGAACCAACTGGGTCTTGCTTTTTTGGCCAGGGAAGTCATTATTGCCCTCCCAAAAAAATCCCAGGTACGTGGCGAACCCTCAGCTCCGTATTGCCCTCGAAGTACTAGCTGGGGGACCGGTGAACAATAGTGAACTCACCGCACCTGGACTATGGTTGGGTCTCGTGCAGAGCAATAAAACAGAAACTTTCCCAGCAAACTTGTTGGCATCCCCGCTGGAACCTTGCTGGCAAGAAGCCACGGCACTTTGGCGCGTTCGCAACATACCAGCAGTTTGCCCCTTTAAATAGACGGGTGTCACTGCACCTAATCACTCCACGCAGACACAACACTGGAGAGATGAAAAGGCGCTGGATGGACCTCCAGACATTGTAATTACTAAGCCTGCCTGTTTGCCGCACACAAGACCAACAGAGCCCTCGCCTTATTTTGTGCAGCTCGCACTTCATGATAATAATATGAATATTTTCCCCGTCTGGCAAGCTAGGCTGGCAGTACGGTAATCGTGCCGGTTCATAGGTGACTCAAGGCCAAGTTTAGCTGCGCCACATTGTGTATTTTATCTGGGGGCTGGCTCGGCATGCAATGGAGTCTGGTTTAGCTGATCCGACTGATCAAGTTGGAGTCTGGTGGCGTCAGGTCCTTGCTTCGGGTGGAGATCGAGGCAAAGCAGTGTGGAAGTGGTGCATTGGAGGGGTGGGTGTGCGCGTTAAACCAGCCTAAAATCGCGATAATACTGATCACAACACCAGTTGTTTTTTTTTTTTTCGAAAGGCAAATTTTCATTCAGGGTTTACAAAGCCCTGCGTGCGATGGCATGGGCGGCCCATCACCTTGCATGAATGTCGGCATTCTAAATAAGCTCCAAAAATCTCTTAAGGTATAGGGTCTGCTCTTTGACGTCGCGGTCGTATTTCTCCAAGTACCTGCTAAAACTATGGCTGGCCGTCGGTACAAAAGTAAAAAAATAATTTTACAACTAAAAAAGAAAATCCCACGCAGCTATCAGAACTCCAGATAATAAAACATGCACTACTCAATACTGAATGAAAATACGACCCTATGGGACAAACGTCAATTTTGAACGAAATGGAGGTAAAATCGAAAACTAACCAAAAGGTTTTCTGCAAATTTTGGCCGCCCATACAAGGTGTAGGCAAAATAAGAGTGGTCTGTCGGTAGCGTACTTTGAACGCAGAGGGCTTTATTACAGGTTTTCCGGCCAACTTACAGTCTTGCATTTCCTGATTATTTGCTGATATGATACTCCAGGTTATATTTACCGACATTTTGGGGTTTAACTGCGACACTGGATTTCTTTTCGCCACTTGTGTTTGTTCTTCCGGTGTTGCTTCAATTTTGCCTCAATCGATGCATCCTTTTTGTTTAATTTATTTTCTGAAATGGTGCGCACAATAATTCATGGAAGCTGTTCATGATTGACAGGGGTGCTTTGATGGGTTATCAATAATACGCCATGGCTTGGATCTACGATAACGAAAAGGGAATTCGAAGAATCCTCGAGTGCTCGTTTGTAGGCTTGCCTGACGCAATTTTGTTAGCAGCTGTATTTTAGGTAGGCCCCCTTCAACAAAGTCGGCTTCAAAAAGGTCCGTCTTTTACCTCTTTTTTACCGGTAGGCCTACCATTTGGAAGTTCTTTAATAATAACGAAAGGGGGGAATTCCAAACACACACCAACGAATTCCATGGATGGCAGCACAATTGCTGTACATAGATTAAATGAAAAAAATAAAAAGGTTGCCGCTTGTACCTTTTGAACAGAAGCGTTTGGGTCTGGTATCTTCCTTCCATGAATCGTTTTGGGAGCGTGAATGACGTGCTCGAGTCGCACAGTCGAAATGGACCACTCTGTTGACATTTTTTGTTTTTATATTTGCTTGAGATTTTTGAAATAATTTGAGAAACATTCCTTTGATTTTTGTAACACAAGGTTTCGCCAACCCGCGCCAGATGTCAAAATGCGCTTGTTCGACGTAACAAAAGAAATGATTAGTGTAGACAGACACTCGTGGCTGCCAAGTTGTTTGAACGTGTGCGTTAAGACGGTTCGTGGGGTGCATCAGGAAAATGATTGGTAAAAGGAAAAGGATTCGCTCAGGCTGCGTCCGAATCTCTTGTCTAGAGCTAGGTCTAGGTCTTCGCTCCATTGGAAATGCGTGGAGACGCGTAGACAATAGACCTAGCCTCAGCTCTGGAAGCCCGTTTTGGACACGGCCATAGTCTTTCCTATCAGTCTATCCAAGGGGCGCATCGGGGGGGGGGGGAGGCAAACGGAGACCGCGCCCGTCAAACAGAGCCCACAATGAGTGCTGACGGGTATTAGCCGTCGCTGGCACCTTCGGCAAAAGTAGGGTGGGTACTCGGTAGGCCTAGCCTACCAGCAAAATGCAAGGTGTTTTTGGCCTGTCGCAACCAAGGATTTGTTCATTTGCTGGCCCTTTTTTGGGGGGGGGGTAACAGTGTTCGGGATTTCAGTCTTATGCCTTCCACACGCAGGTTTACCATGCCAAGGAACAACTTTACCGACGCGAGCCGACCAAACGTACACGCGTTAGAAAGATTACGGCTGTCACTTCTCGTCAGTCAAAAGAGGGCGCCATTTGATTCTAGCAGTCTCTCTTCTTGTTAACGTTGCGGCACAGCCAGTGGTCTCAGGGCGCTAGCGGGATAAAGGCTCAGGCCTCCTATCCCAAGAACCATTCTCCCAATGGAAAGTGCATGTGTGTCTGAGACATTTGTGTGCAGTAGAAATCCACGCACTGTGTGGACCTCATGTGAACTAGACCAGGTCCATGCGAGGCTCTTCCTCCCTGGCAAACAGGTTTCTAGGCATTTGGGGTCAGGGTCAACGGAGAAATTACCCCTACAAGGTCATTTAGGACCATCTCACGCTAGGGGTTGGATTCCCCCAAAAACTGGACTGTCCCCGGTCCAGTGTTTTGTAAAAATACTCATTATCAATATAAAAGACTGTGTATTTTCAACTCAATCCGAAATAATAATGATTTTATTGTTACAGACATTTGAAGTCCAGCACCACGTGCGTGCCAGCCCACTTACATTAAGCATGGCGGCGCACAGTATCCATTTTTAGCTGACCTTTCTCGAAAAAAAGCGTTGTGTGATCTGGACTGCCGCAGAAACCACGGAACAAAGGCGCCATGTTCACTTCAGACTCGTGCACACGACGTCGTGTGTAGGTTGCACTACACCAAATACGCGCCCTTAGAAAACAGCACAAAATCGGCCCGAAATAGCCCCGCCTGTTGACTCCCGTGAAGAGGTTGGCCTTCTTTTATTTTCTACTGGAAATTCAAGATTATGGCCAGATCACTTTTCGTTTCGATTTCATGGGGCTAGCCCCGAAAATCGTTTTCTTATTCGCCTTTCAAGTAAGATACCCCCTAAACAGCAGTACAACTAAGCGCTCATTTCTGAATGTAGCCGCCCGCCTCTATCCAAAATAGGCCCGCAATATGGAGCTTTTAGTGAAAGAAATACCCCGAACTGGAAACTATCGGTCCCAAATTCAGGATTCATAGAAACATTTCTATGATCCCTCCTGATTATGGCATGTCTTATTGTAAACACCCTGTGGGATCACAACATATTAATGAGCTCGCATGGCACAGAAATACAACCTTTTGGTGGAATGCACCCTTTATGAACTCACGGGTTGCCTGTTGTGCGTGCACAAAGTTGTGCGGGCATTGTAGAAACTACGGGGGACAGCTAAGGACATCGGAAAAGTCAACTTTTAAAGAAAAAAAAACCCCACACGTTAAGATTTTTGGAGGCAGGCGCTGATGCTAAACTATTTTTTTTTCATGCGGCCTTAGTGTCAGAAGATCTGCAGTAACATCAAGTAATGTCTCCTTCAGGAGTAAGTAGGATGTACTGCAAATCCCCGTCAAATTGTTACATCCACCATGCAAACCCTCGGATCACATTTCAATGCAATATTTCAATATTATGAGTTCAATATTTCAATATTACAAGGCCCTTACTGATGCCACAAAGATCTTTTATTGCTGGGCAGTTGAGTGCATGTGCATAGGAACCTGTGACAAGTGAGTACCATTCCACTTACACCTTAGAGCTAATCTATTTTGCAAGATTTCGTAAAGAAAACGCAAGGCATTGTGGGTAGCCAACTTCTATGATTAAAGCATGCACGCTCAATTGCAATACTGTTGTGGTAAACTCTATCCAATGAGATCACATTAGCATCCTCCGATGGCAATGGACTGCTTAATGGAAAGCCAAGGTTTGGAGCACTTTCTTATGGCTCAAACAGTACTAAGCTAGTCTATGGCCAAGCCAAGAAGTGGTCAATGGCTCTTCAGTTTTTCCTGAGGTTGCAGAGCGCCCTCTTTAGCTCAGGCCCAAGTCCAAAGACAGCATCACTGTACTGTGATACCCCAGCCCAGCTCTTCCAGTTAATTAGCACTGCAGTTGGTGGTGGTTTCTACCGTTTGTTGTCCACATGTGGAAAGCATTTTTAGGCAAAGCTTAAGACTCGTCGCCCAAATTAAATGTCACAGCGCTGTCGCTGCTGCGCTCGACTGCCGTACTGACATCAGTGTTTGTTTCTACGGCGAGACTCCCCTCCGTAGTATCGCTCTCTCCCGGCGTCATCTCCAACACCAGCCCCCCTTCTTCCCCTGCCTCTTCCTCTGGCGATTCTGTGATGGTCTCGATAGTCGCCGACTGCACGGGGCGCTGACTCTCCTGGAGATCTCCTGCTTGTGAATCTGATTAAAAACAAGACTGACGTGTTCACAAACACAAATGCCCTGCCAATCCTTTGCCTAAGCCCACAAAACCACAAAACCTTTCCATTGTTTTAAACTGTAATAATCTTGACCTTTGACCTGCAAAGTCCAAAATCAATACTTCTAGATGACACCAAGACCAACCACAATGCTTAAGTTGAAGCTGCCCAGTCTGTGTAATTTTTCTTCCTAGGAGGGTTAGGGGTAATTATCATGTACGGGTGTGGTTAACTGCAAGGTCGATCGGGTTAGTGGACACTTAGAAACTGTTAGGTGTTAAGGTAAATGTTGGGCTTTACTTTCTCCAACCAACTAATTCCCCGCCAAGAAAAAAAACCACATGAACCCTTGGCTTGTTGGTTCTAAGTATGATGCTCTTCTAACAGCGCTACCATGCAAGTCGGCCAGAAGAGCAGTTTGGTTGTGTCTTATACTTAAAAGTTTATGTACCCCATTTATGATAATTGCCCCCAACCTTCCTAGATGCAAAACGCATGCGCAACAGTTAAGATACACCCATTTTATTATAATTACCCTTAACCTCTCTAGAAAAAAAAAGTGTTGGACAAGTGTGTGGATCCTCGTGTGCGGGCCAGGTAAACAGCATAGATAACGACTTACACGTGACGATTAATGGATCAGTGAGAATTCAGCTCCTGATCATGCATATGTATGAGGCATAATAACACTGGATGAATATGCAGCAGCTTGAGGTCTGGATGATAGCCTTACCGAGTGTGTCCTGCGGTTCCTCGGTTAACGGTTCCGGAGCAGCAGGCAGTAAAGGTTTCAGTGCTTCGGACACACTGCTCACGTCAAGAACACCGATGTAACCCTGAAAAAATGGCCATAGAAACTACAGTCCAAACACAGCCTTAAGGGGCTGTTGAAGCATGCATGTCTCAATCAAGGTTGGGTTGATTCAATTTAATTGAACGTTTGAATACTCCGAGCCTTCCATTTGATTAAAAATTGGAATATCTGATTGAACTAAATTTGTACGTACCTCTGATAACTTGTGACTCATTTTTTTGAGGTTGGGTCACATGGATTTCAATGATAAACCACTTGTGAACTTGTGAACATTATTAAACGACGAACTTGTCTCGGCTGCAGTATGATTTCCAGCTGAAGGCACAGTCCTTTAAAAAGATGGATTTTTCCAATGTTGACCCTTGGTGGTAATTTAGTTAAGATTTGTACAAAATTTCTTATTTCATTGCCACTTTTTAACAACTCTAAATATGGATGAGCTATATTTGCAACAATGCCCAGCTGTGCTAGCTCGGTGGTTAAGACAGCTGCACCAGTAAGCAGGATGTTATGTGGGTTTGAGTCCCACCCACGGAGCTTGAGAATTATTTCCCAAGCTCTTGGACAAACACTGAGCATACAGTGTTATGAATATACGTCGGTGTAGGGGCAAAGCCAGTTATTAACAATCTCAATGGACTAGCATTAGCCGC